ATTCAGTTTAATGTAAGAACTTTCGGCGACTAATATTTTAGTCGCCAAAAGGTGACCTTTGGCGACTAACGAAAGTTTAATAGCCTAAAGTTTTACATTACCAATCAAAAATACTTTAGTCGCCAATACTATCACCGACAGAGTATACCTGACAACCTTGGTGGCAAAAAAATTTAGTCACCATTGACTTTTGGCGACCAAACATAAAGCTTTTAGCGACTAATATTTTAATTGCCAAATATGTTATTTCTGTAGTGATAGCAGTGGATCACATCACAAAGAGACACAAATCAAACATGAATTATCGAAAAAAAAAAGAACCACATAGTAGCAATGGATCACATCACAAAGAGACACAAATCAAACATGAAGTACTAAAAAAAAAAAAAAAAGCACATAGTAACAGTGGATCACATCACAAAGAGACAAATCAAACATGAAGTATCACATCTGAAGGAGTAGTCACATATCAAATCTAAAGCGAGTGTGTGTGTGTGTATTGTATAGATCTGTAGTAGAGTAGATTTTCCAAAGCCTAACGAGAATAGAGGATGGGTGGGTGTTTCTGTTGAAGCACATTTTGTATGGGTGGATAGTGTTGAAGCACATTTGGCATACATACATTGCCTACTATCCTCAATATATGAACCATGATCTCTCATTATTTATATATTTAGATCTCGTTTATTAATTATATATTTTATTTAAAAAATTATAAATTATTATAAATTATCACATTACTTTTTACATTTATTTTATATCTTTTTATAAAAAATTAAAAAATTATTAAAACAACTTATTTTCAAATCAGACCTTAAAATCACACAAACATAATGGATGAAGATCACAATGGATGGAGATCTCTTACAGGTATGGTGGTTTATGTGTCCCCATTCCACGAGACACATTTTGCACCCTAAAGCAACATCATACTTCTCAAATAATGCAATCCCATCCGTACACGTGGCACATAATGGCCAACCAACCATGCTACCCATATTCCACCTCCTCTTCAAACATGGATAAGCACGTTGCATTTAATTATTAAAAAAAAAAAAGAGCCCTTATATGTCCCAAGTCAATGTTTTGGCAGCATCTCCTCTCTTTACTTAAATGAGATTATTTTTTTATTTTTATTTTTATTTTTTTTTTGCGGGGTACCTGCTACGTGTGTGAATCAATTGGACAAACTATGATAAAACTTGTCTGATTCAGCTTATTATAATTTAAAAGTTAAAAATTAAATAATATAATTTAAAAATACTTATTCAACTTTTAAAAAATTAACTTAAAAAAATATATTTAAAATATTTTTGTCTAATAAATTGTAAATAAAAGTTATATTATAGAAAATATCTTGACAAGCTTCTAAAAATAAATAAATAAAAACTTATAAGCAATTCAGACAAATTACACCAAACAATCTCACAGTTTGAAAGGATATTTCAACAGTTCAAAAGATAATAATTCAATATAAAATGTATGGCAAAATTATATATATTCATGTTGTAATAGTTACACTTAATATATTAATTAATATAGGAACCATTACTTATCAGTGGGGGTTGAAAAACTATACTACAAATCAATGGAAAACTTTTTAAAATTACAAGATAAATAAATAAAATAATTTTAATTACAAAAGTGGGGAATTGTCCTAGCACGCGCCAACTCATCATCACTCATCACCCTCTTTCTTCCTTGTCTGGTGCAAACGAGCCGAGCCGAACTTAGCTTTACTGAGCTCGAGCTTGGCTCATTTACTTATCGAGCTCGTTTATTGAGCTCGAGCTCAGCTCGATAAGAAACTGTGCTCGAACTCGGCTCGGCTCGATAATTTTTTTTTAATATTATTTATATTATTAAAAATATTATTTAATATATAAATAATGTATTTATATTATTATATTTATATATTTATATATTATTTAATATAAAAATAATATATTTATTATATAATTTATATAAAGATAAATGATTATTATATAATTTAAATAAAGATAAACGAGCCGAGCTTAACGAGTCGAGCTTATGCGAGCTCGAGCTCGGCTTGTTTACTAAACGAGCCTAATATTCGAGCTCGGGCTCCAAGCCGAGCCCTTAACGAGCCGAGCTGAGCTTGTTCATGAACAGCTCGATTTATTTGCAGCTCTATTTGTCTCTCTTCTGTCTTGTCTGTTCCCCTTCCCTTCTCTCTCTCTCTCTCTCTTCCCCAACCGTCCTTTCTCACTTTCTCTTTCTTTCTATTTTTTCCTTTTTATTTTATTTTCATTTATTTAAAAAAAATATGTATAATTTTTAATATATAAATTTATTTTTTATAAAATTAATCAACTTGTTTGGTTTCATAATTCTGGATTCATTTTTTAGAAAATTAATTTTTTTTTATTTTTCATATTTTTTGTTTTTACTGAATTTTTTTAATATTTCAAGTAATTTTTTTAATTTTTAGATGTACCTAACATAAATACACTTGAAAAGTATAATATTTATGAATTTGTTTTTAAAAAAAATCAATAAACATCAAAAATATAAAAAAAATACAAAAAATTAATACATTTTTCGTAATCTTGTGTATTTATTAATTTTATTTAAAAAACTTTAATTTTTAGATATATCTAAGTAAGATGCATCTACGAAAGTAAAAAATATTTCTTAAAATTTTAAAAATATTCACTAAAAATAAAAAAATATGAAAAATAAAAAAATCAATTTTCAAAAAATTGAATTGAGAAAATTGAAACCACACGCAATGAATAAGATATTAATGATATCTTTAAAATGACGCTCATATTAACACTACAGGAAAAAGAGGTTTAGGTGACGTTTTTTTAACGACGCTTTTTAAAACGTCACTTTTATTAGTATTTAATGACGTTTTATAAAACGTCGCATAATTCTTTATTTAAAACGACACCGTTTTATAATTGGAGGCGTTTAAAAATGCCTCCAAATGTGGTGTGCTTCACGCGCTTCCTCTCTCACTCTTTTCAAATTCTAATTTTGAATCTGAGAAATATTATGCCCAAATCTCCAGCGCGCGCTCTCTCTCTCTCTCTCTCTCTAAGCCCTTATCATTCTCAGAGCGATTTCGAGATTCAGAGGCTCCACCGACATCAAAATCTGCACCGGCGAGGTAGGTGAGCTCTTTTTCTCTCTCTAAATCTCTCTCTCTCTCTATTTCTCTCTCTCTCAACCCTCTCTAAACTCTTATCATTCGCAGAGATTCAGATCGGTCTCAGTGATTTCATCTCAGAGCGATTTCGATTTCGATTTCGAAGCTCCACCTCCACCACCATCTGCACCATCATCTACTAAGGTGAGCTCCGCCGTCTCTCTCTCTCTCCTCTCTCTCTCTCTCTCTCTCTCAGCCCTTATCATTCTCAGAGCGATTTCGAGATTCAGAGGCTCCACCGCCATCACCATCTGCACCGGCGAGGTAGGTGAGCTCTCTTTCTCTCTCTAAACCTCTCTCTCTCTCTATTTCTCTCTCTCTCAACCCTCTCTAAACTCTTATCATTCGCAGAGATTCAGATCGGTCTCAGTGATTTCATCTCAGAGCGATTTCGATTTCGATTTCGAAGCTCCACCTCCACCACCATCTGCACCATCATCTACTAAGGTGAGCTCCGCCGTCTCTCTCTCTCTCTGAAACTCTTCCTCTCTGTCTCTCTCTCTCTCGCTCTCTCTCTCTCTCTCTCTTTGTGTTTCAGTGATTGATGAGTTGTATGTGCTCTGTTTCAGTAATTGTTTTTCACTGATGAGTTGGATGTGCTGTAATGTCAGTTCTGGCATTCACTTGATTCATTTGAGATTCATTTGATTTTGCTGTGATATCACTCCATTTCATTTGATTTTGCTTTGATTTTCCTGTGATTTTGCTGTGGTGGTAGAAAATACAGGCATTCACCCCATTTGTAATCTCTATTTCTTGTTTTTTGTTAAACTTGTGGATCTATTTGGTTTCTGTTTCTATACTGGTTTCTAGGGTTTTGTTTTGTGTTTTCAATAACAAAGGAAGAAAAAAAAATGAAATCTTTCAAATATAGAGTTTCAGAAAATCTTTCAAAAAAAATGAAAGCTGGTGTTTCTGCTCTAGCTCATTTGGATGATTGATGGTTTGGGATATTTCTAAACTCTAGCATAGCACTGAATATTTTATTAATTTATTTTTGGAGTATTGAAATTTGGTTGGTGCACTCTGTTGAAGCTTTATTGTTACACAATTAGCTTTATTTGCATTTGAAATTGCATGATGTCTTGTTCAATTAGCATTGTTCAAATTAGATAGCTTCCAAGCAATTTTCCCTCTGTAATTCATATCCTATACTTTCGAGGAGGTAGCTAAACAATCAAAGCATTATGTAATACTCAATCTTGATGGCTTATATAAAATTGGTTCATCTGGTATGGTCGTTAGGTCTGGAAGTTTAAAGATGAAGCTTCAACAAAGAGCTTAGAATGTAGAATTTGCTAAAAGTCTCACCCTCTTTAACCTCTAGAGGAAAAAAAATCTATTGCCTCTCTTTCTTTTGACTTTTTAATCTATTTCCCCTTTTCATTGCATATGTGCATAAAAATTAAAAAATAAATAAATTCCATTGCTAGGTTCATGCATTTGAAATTTTAGGGTTTCCTGTCTCTGAGATGAATGAAAACAACACAATGTTTCTCTCATTCATGAATTCTGTGGATGTCTTACAAGTTTTTTGGGGAAAAATCTCATGTACACAAAGTTTTAAGGATTTGTATACCCTGAAAGTTTTTAAATTATGATTAATTTTTTTAATTATAACTAATGAAATCTTTAATTATATCCCATATCATTTTCAATTATGATAATTTTTTTTTAATTATGACTTATTCTTTTTGAACATTACTCGGGTTAACCCGACCCAAAATGCACCCTTAAAAACGAAAGCAATTGATTAGGGTACCAAACAATGTAGAATCAGAGCCAAAGGCTGAAGTCGAGTTCCCTAAAGAAAAGAAGAAAAAACTCAAAAACATCCAATCCCATGAGAATTCAGCATCAAGGGCTGAAAATGTATATGCCCAAAGTACCGACTTAAGTGCTGAAATGCTTTGCTTGGATACACAGCCAAATAAAGGGGAGCCCATGTTTCCATTGGATCGTGATTTAATATCATCTGGCAGTTTGGGTCATTTAGCTATGTATGAGAGTGTTCCAAGTATGTATCCACTTGCTTTGGTTCTCTATTTATCCTAAATCCTAATGTATAGCTAACAAACATATGATCATGTTCATGTTGTATGTTTGAGATCTCTAAACAATGCAATGTTCTTGAAACTACTTGTTTTGTGTGCAGGAATGGACCAGTTTATTGGTAAAATGGAAGTTCCAGGGAGCTTTAGTCCTTATCAGCACGGGGAAGGACATGACATCATCGGGTGATGCACACAGGTGCTATTTTGTTGCTTTGGATTGATCAGAAGCTTATTGAACTTGAGGATAATGGACTATATATCTCTACATTAAGAAGTCGGTTAACTAGGGAACATACGAACCATAGATAGCACAATTAATATCTACATACTCTGAAGTTTATGATTTGTCAAGACTTGTTAGGGCTGAGAATCTGTGAATTTCTATGAAAATGAATTTCACAGTATTCTATGTTTATATTCATTACTGTTAAACCATCAAATTTTGAATGTTGAAATCTTGATTTTTACTTCAAAATTTGATGCCTTTGAGTAATGGAACAACTTGCACAAGCCAATCTTCAAACACACACTTCAAAATAACAAACCTAACCTAGTTACTCTTACAACCAAGCCCAAAACTCTACACATTGAGTCAACTCCGGTGAGTGTCCTTTGTTCGATTCTTCGTCGTCTTCTTCTTCATCGTTTTTCTTCTTTGTTTATTCTTTGATTCTTCTTCTTGGTTTTTTACATTTTTTTGTCTTTTATTTTCTGCAGTGCAGCAACAAGAGCCACTCGAAGTCGATTTCCTCCCTTTTTTGAAGTTGATTTCATCTGTTTTTCGCAGCAACAAGAAGGTGAGTTCAGCCCAGCCCTTGTTTTTTTTTTTGCCCTTGTTTTCTTGCTCTTGTTTTTGCTACTGTTCTGCTGTTTTCCAGAGAATTTTTCCAACTTTTTATTTATTTATTTATTTTCATTTTTCCCAATATTTAAAAAATGAAAAGATTTTTTTTTTTTTGGGTAGTGACTTGTACTTGGTAACCCAGCATTGTTTGAGGCCTCTTTAATTCATTCAATAGTAAACAATAGCAAAGAGGGTCCTAGAATCCTAGGTCCCTATCATGCATTGATCCACCTAGTCATAGTCTAATAGAGAGCTTTCATTTGAATATATCTTACTTAGTAGTTAGTTGTTGTCCCATTCCGAATCATAGAATAGCTAGGATAGCAGAATGTAGCATTGGCTTATCTTAGAAAATAGATCTCTCAACATTTTCTAATTAGTAATATAATAACTTCGGTTCATTGGTTTTTTTTTTTTCTCTCTCTTTGTAGTTTTCTTCTTCATAACAAAAACAAAAAGAAAAAAGTCTTCAAAAGCTTACAACCAAAGTTTTAAATATCAGTCAATATATACTAAACTAAATCAAGACTTAAATTTTTTAATATTTATTAATATATTGGTCGAAATTATTTGATATTAGCTCATATAACGGTATTGTTGATACTAGTACATATTCTGAAATTACCTTACAACCAGAGTTTTAAATATCGCCAGATTGATAGTTTTAAGGCTGGAATCAACACACTTATTAGCCACTAACTCAACAAGAATCACTCTTCCTCGCATGAAAGCACTATGGGATTCTGAGATGAGCTGTGCAATTGCCTTCCTCAATCTCAATGCTAACACTGACAATTATTTTATAGACACCGTCAATCAATTTAATAGGTCTCAATCTTGAATGTCCACTACACCCCTTTATTTGACATGGGGTAATAGAGGAGGCATTTGTACTCATCTCAAACTCTTGTCCCAAAAAAGGATGCAGAACTGCTTGGCCGTGGAGCTTAGTCATCATTGAGGAGCCTCAATTACTTCTTCCTCTGAAAATGGTATTTTTAACTAGTTCCTGTCCTTCTCCTATAGCATACTAACCCCCAATTTTCCAATTAGGGTCCCAACATTTGGCTCAGAATCAAGCTTACTATAGAACTCCACAATAGTTTTAGAGATATCCTCCTCCCTAGTCAAAACTTTCCCATCAACACTCAACCTGCTGATGTGATTATCTTTTCTTTGTGCGTTAGCCATTCTGTTAAAGAAACTGGTGTTTGGCACTTTGTGTTGCAAAAAAATGCTTCAGAGGGAAGTGTTTATGTTGATTTCTTTTCAGCATTGTCTGATCTTGACATTTTGGCAGGTTGCAAAAGGTGTAATGACCTGTGTGACTCAAGAAGTAAAAGATCTTTACCATCTTTTGGACCATGAGTTTCTCCCTCTAGATCTTGCAACAAAAGTGCAGCCTTTGTTAACCAAAATTTCCAAACTTGGGGGTAAGCTTGCTTCAGCATCTTCTGTACCAGAGGTCCATCTATCTTAATACATTCCCATGCTGGAAAAGCTTGCCACTCTAAGATTGCTTCAGCAGGTGCACGGGTGCTAGGTTTCATTTTCGGTACTTATTTTTTTTCCAATTTTATGCATTTTCTAAAAACAATTTTCATCGTGCTTGATATTTTTCATTTCTTGTTTTCCAGGTGTCTCAGGTGTATCAGTCAATGAATATAGAGAATTTATCTAAAATGATCACCTTTTTTGAATTTTCTGCTGTGGAGAAAATCTCTGTTGATGCAGTCAAACATAATTTCCTTGCAATGAAAGTTGACCACATGAAGGGTGTTGTTGCATTTGGTAACTCGGTAAGTAGTTCTCGTACCTTTATGTCTATGTTGCTGTCTACTTGCTTTGCTGAATGTAACTTTATCATTTGCTGATGCTATACACAGAATAGTAGTAGCAATGATGTTAACATTTGGTTGTTTTATTCTTATCCACATATGGATATTATGGTTAAATCACAATTTCACTTAATGATATATATAGGTAACAATCACACCTGAGGTTATTTCCAAAAAACTCCATCAGGAAATCATTAACAAGCTTGTTGAATTGTACTGTGAGTCACACTTGGGCAAGCGACAGCTAGCTTATGATGGAAGGAAGAGTGTCTACACTGCTGGGCCTTTGCCTTTTTCTTCCAAGGACTTCGTCATCAAGCTCGTCGACCTAGATAGAGGAGCAAGGTTATCTCTATTTTGTGGTTTCGTTGCAATTTGTTATAGTTGAGTTGTATATATATGTCTTTATTGAAGTGTGATTGGTGAAGAGCATTGAAAATAGTAACCTTATTATCAATTGCTTTTCAACTCAAATGGAAAACTAGCTTTAATCTTTTTCTTATTGATTTTGAGTAAGATGGTGGCTCTTATGTCATTATCTGGATGCAAATTTGTGCCAACAAGAAAATATGGTATGCTTTAGTTGAAGTTAATGCTATGCTTGCTTTAATTGCAGGAAGGATCGTGAATTTAAGGTCTCATTCAAATTTGCTGCTAAACCTGACATACATCATCTTCAAGAATTCATGCGTGGTAGACAACTTGATACCTCACAAGAAACTATACAAGTTCTTGATGTGGTTTTTAGGGCAACACTGTCGATGAAGTGATTTCTCTCACTGACCAATAACTATTATTAAGTTTTTTTTTTTTGGCTTGAACTCTTGCATTCTTATTCCTGATTGAAGGCAGTGCGACATGGTAGAGCTCTTGTGCGAGTATCATTCAACAGTAATCTGCCGAAGTCGGACTACATTATGGTAACGGCTGATACTCTTCAAATTATATGAAGAAGTTGGAGAAGGTATCAGCGCCACTGTTCACCGGGCTCTCTGCATTCCTTTGTGTTGACTGGGATTTGGGAATGTATCCTGCTCAAAATTGTCTTTGTTGTACATGAACCTATTATGATTAATTGAATACGAATCCCTATTCTGCAGTGTAATGATGTGTAATATGCTTGACTATTCCATTGCATCTGCATGTGCAAGCAAATGACTTAACCTATTTTTTCTTTTTATTTTTTGATTGTGTTTGTTGTTTGATTTTGGTTCAGACACAATCATGTAATGTTTATTTAGTCAATATATTGAAGTAGCTGTAAAATTTTATTCATATTATTGTTATTTTTCAGCTTTATTACAGGTATGTTTTTTAGTTAAATATAACAGATTCAGAACAATTTTTTTTTTAAAAAAAAGAGCTATAACGGCGTTTTTTCAAAACGCCACTACAGTGCCAACGGACATTTTTTTTAAAATAAAAAAATCTATCACGGCGTTTTAAAAACGTCGCTAAATATTGGATGACGTCATTTTATCATTATTTATCGCACTTAGCGGCGTTTTTAAAAACGCCGCCTATACTAATTTTACGACGTTTTTAAAGCGTCATAAACTTATAGCGACGGCCGCGTCCTCGACTTTTGGTGATAAGTGTCACTAAAGGAATTAGCGGCATTTTTCATACATATAGCGAAAGCCATTTTTCCAGCAGTGTAAATATATAATTTTAAAATTTAAAATAAAAATATATATTATTTTTAAAAATTACATAATTAAAATATAATTAAAGTTGGTATGAATAATAAGACTATCTAAATTTATTTAAATAACAAATATTATTTAAGTCTCTAAAGTAAAAATGTACAACTTAAAACAACACATGCTGAGTATTAATGATTAAAAAAATTAAAAATAACTCACTCTGTTTTGTTTTATGTAAACTAGGTTGACGAAAATAAATAAATAAATATTAACTCAATTATACAATTAAAAACATACAAATATTAAGAAAACATTATTTTTGTTTAAAAAGATAAAATCATATGAAAATGAAAATGATTTTCCTATCAAATTATTTTTTATTTTTTAAAAAAAACTTAGAAGATAAAATTTAAAAATTCAACTAAATATTTTATATTTCAACTTTAAAAATAGTTTTAAAAAATTAATTGCACAATATATTTTAACTTTATAAATAGTTATAAAAATAGTAAAAGTTAGTCACGAAAAGAAGAATTCACATTTGAGGGTACAATGCAAGTTCACTGTGTTACGTGCAAGTTTATGTGTGTGGGGGTGCAAATTGAGTCGGTGAACAGTGCAAGTTTATCCCATATGGGATGTAAGTCGAATTTGTGTAGGGTGCAAATGGAGTATGCGTAGGATGCAAGTCTATTATGTGTGTGGACTTGCACTCCACACAGACTCGATTTGGATCCGATTTGACTTGCCATCTAAATAGACTGGACTTACGCCTAGGGGTGAGTATGGTCCGGATTGGTTCAGATTGTGATAAAACTAGAGCTAATCCGCTATCTACGGTTCCTGAAAAATTGAAACCAATCAAATCCGTTTAAATTGTAGAACTAATTCGAACCAATCCATTTAAACACGAATTGAATTGGTTTAGGACCACGGATTTACATAATTAAAGAACCAGAAAAAAAAAATTGAACATTTTAATTTCATAAAAAATAAACATTGCATCATATTAGTTCCATAATAGCAACATGTCTTGTTGGAACAATCTTCTGTGTAAATAAAATAAATTGAAACAAAGGCAAACAAAATAAAATAAAACTTACAGAATTTATTTTATTGAACCAAATAAAAATTAAAAGACCACGTTGAGTGTGTGACACTCTGTCTTTAAGACAGATTCGCCTCGCTACGGTGCTTACAGTTGAGTGGCGTCTATCTCCCAAGATACAATGATCTTAACCAATTTGTTGTAGCACTCCAAAACAAATTGTTCGGCGAAGCAAACCTGTATTCTATACTCTCTATGATTTTTCCTAAAACTAGAATGAAGAAAAATGCACTTAATAAAATTTGGACAGCAATATCAACACATGCAGACTGAATTTCGGGATACTCTAACACTGCTGGAGTGTTGGTATTTATAGGCAAAGCTGCTGTCCGAACAAGTACCACAATTTGAATGAACAGATGTTAATTCAAACTGAACAGATACTGTTTGAAATTCAAACAAATCTGTCTGTAACTGCTGCACAAAAATGGACAGATTTGATCTTGTAACTAACAGATACAGTTACTGTATCAAACTGTAACTGTCCGGCAGTTTTTGTAATGAATCTGTTTCGCAGATTTTGTATGGAATTTGAACTGTAGGAGACACAAAATTTTGGACTAAAATTTGAATTCAAATTCAAATTATAAAGATGCAAACATTAAATTAATTTTTCCCGCAAGAAATTTGGAAAAAATTTAAATAATTTTTGTCCAAAAAATTAATGTTAAAACCGACCCGACCCACAACCGCGCCCGGCATGGCTCGGCTAGACGGCCGCCGCCGCCGCCAGCGAGCGCACGTGTGGTGGTTTGGGTTAAGGTTCACTTTATCCATAACTCCTCCCTTCTACAAACTTGGGGTGCCCCTTCGGCCCAACCCAAGTATTGTAGGCTAGAGCTTATAAACTCAACAAAACTCTCTTAAAGTTTCAATGTGAGACAAGCCTCAAAAGGAAACCCACATTAAAACTTTAAATGTTCATTCCACGAACCCGAAAACAACGTTATATTCCCATTCACTTATAAATGGTTTTAACAAACCGTCTTCACCGTGTGACTTGCCATGCGGTAAGGAACACTTCACCTCTTCGGACCCGTCCCAAAAGACGTTCGGGGCCCACTCAATTTTTGACTCAAAGTCGGCCCAAAATATGCCTATATAAACCATTTTTCCAACATGTCTTTCCATAATAGTGACATACTGTTCTAGAATTTAAACAATCATAAAAAAACCAGTTTCACCATAAATATTTAGACCATTACAAATTAAAATTAAAAATCAAGAAAACAAAAGCAATAAAAAAAGATACTATGCGGGTTGAGATTGGGTTTAAATTTTATATGAAATAATAGAAGATACTATGTAGGAGGGTGTATAATATAAATATAGGCTATTTGTATACGGTCCGGATCGGTTCCAATCTAGTACCGTGGGTTCAATCTAGAATCGTGGATTACGAATTTTTAATTTTTCAATCTAGAACCAAATCTCGGATTGAAGAAATCAATCCAAACCTACCGGATTAGACTAGACTGAATTAGATTACAGATTTCACGGATTCTTTACTCAACCCTACCTATACCCCCATACAAATTGAACTTGTACCCCACAAAAATATTTTTAAAGTTGAAATATATTAACGTTTGGCAAGATGGTTTGTGGCTAAAATAGCCACAAAGGACAAAATAGACTATTTTAGCCACAACAAACAAAACATCACATTTAACCCATAATCATTACACTCTTCTCTCACAAAAAAAGTCAAAAAAGCCAAAAAGCCAAAAAGTCCTTCCCAAACCAAGATTTTTAGCCCATGCTAAAATAGCCAAAAAAGCCACAAAATCAAAAAGCCAACCCACTTCCCAAACCAACCTGTGAATTCTTCTTTTTTTTTAAACTAATTTTTTGCTATTTTTTTATAATTATTTATAAAATTAAAATATACTGTGCAATTAATTTTTTAAAACTAGTTTTTGTAACTACTTTTAAAGTTTTTTGAGGACGTAACTTTAGTTAAAGTTGAAATATTAATATTTGGTTGAATCTTTAAATTTTTTGTTATTTTTTTAAAAAAATTAAAAATAAGTTAATTATCTAAAAATCTTATTTACAAATGTTATGGTATTTTAAGTTTTATTAAAGATTTTTTTGAATCAATCGTATTTAGTAAAATTAAAAATATTATCAATTTTTTTCCCTAATTTTTAAAATTAAGAACATTATTAATTTTGCATAGTAATATTCTAGATAACTGTTTCACTAATTGATAAAAAAACAGAGTATGAGATTAAATATTTTGGTCCTTCTACTTATTGGTTTGTTTGATAAAACTATCCAATAATATGGAAAACATTAACAGCTTTTTCTAGTTTTGAAACTGAATATATTATCAATTTTTTCATTTTAATTTTTTTTTTCAATTCCTTTAAAGACATTAAATTTTCAATTTTGCAAAAGAAAAAAATAATAATAACAATAAATTTTATTTTTTTTGCACATAATTTTTAATTTTTTTTCAATTTGAAAGTTGATATTTTAACGTTTTAAAAATCAAAATAAATAGTAAATTATCATGTTCCTTTATAAGTAATCATAAATGATGAAAAATTATTGTTTGAAAGGCAATTCCAAATTCAAAATTTAATGAGGTTGGAAGGTCCAAAAAATCTTAGTTAGGACTTAATGAAATATAAACCAAACCAATCTAAGTCTTAAGTCTCATCAAATGAGACCGGCAACATGAATCTTTATTCTCTAGGTGACTCTATCAAAGACCATTTCGTCAGTTAAGTTAAGTAGATTTATATATTTACAACGCTTTAAGTAGATTTATATATTTACAACGCTAGCCAACGTTAATCTGTGACTTAATGAAATATAAGTTCATAAATTAAGATTTGTGTATAAATGTCCCGTTAAAAATAGTTTTGGTAAAAAATCATTTTCATTTTCATATGATTCTATCTTTTTTTGAACAATTTTTTTTTTTTAATGTTTGGTGCTTGAATATTTTTATTTTTAATTGTATAATTTTAGTTAATATTTTTTCTATTTATTTTTGTTGAACTACTTCACATACAACAAAACAGAGTGTTATTTAATTTTTTTTTAATTTATTTTTTTT